GCACCCCCAAGTCTAGTTTCAGAAGTGTGCTCATGCACACAAGACATAGAATACCAAGTGGTGGCTTGGGTTGCCCCAAGCTTCTTCCTTTCCCCTTCCATTTATTGCAGCTGACAAAGACACTCGAGGCAGGGAAGCAACATTACTGCATATTTAAACTAATTTGAGAACTTTTTGCTAGAAAGCAGTACATATTTTAACAAAGCCCGCTTCTGAGAGTAATTAAAAAATACTGGATTTTAAACCTCAAAAAGCCCAAATATTCTGGCTTTGTGTATTTCATTTTCTTCCTTCTCATGTTCAGTCACAGTCTTAGATATGTCAAAATGTCTCTCCAAAATCTTGCCTTTATGCTCTATCCATTCTAACAAGGATCTAAAGAAAGTCATTGTCTCATAGACATTAATATAGAAAAGCATTTTACTATTGGGGTTAGAATTCATTCTACTAAGTCAATATCTAAAAAATGTCACTACCTGCCCAAAACATTAGGAACTGGCAGTTTAGAAACCTCTGTTTTTATCCTTTGGGAAGTCTACTGCAGCCACAGGTGGACATGTCCTGCATCAAGATAACAACATATTTGTGATCTCACCAGGGTGTTTCTATATGTAAACGTGCATGATGTCCAAAGGTGAATTTTGTAATACACATTGGCAAAATACCACTATGTTTTTTTATGCACGTGCTTGCTCAGGAGGCAAGCTGCAAGCCTAGTCTATGGAAGACTGACCCACAAACTACTCACTTTTACATATCACATACGTAAGGACAACCCAATAGCCATTAGCAAAGAAAGTAGTTTTATTATTACAAATTATGGGGACATTCAATTGTGTCTAATGTCTAACACAGGCATAAACCTGAACTTTATTCCTGGTTAAAACAAAGCAGAGATACACCAAGTGGATGATTCAGCCTCATGGGTGTTTTGTTGGCCCATGTGTCGTGCCCTCAGCAAAGTTAGTGGTAAGCTGCTGCTTCTCTCCCTCACGTATGCGTTCCTCTACCTTTCCAAAATCCCCTAATTAAACTGAGGTAATTAAAAACATTCCTGAAAAATGAAATCACATCTGACTGCTTAGAAAAAAATTCCAGATTGTTCTTTCACGTAAGAGGAGGGGGAAAGATTTGTTTCATTTTTACCCACCACTTAAAACTGCACCATTTAGGATATGAGCTCATTTATTAGAATGATCAAGACTGATATCCACAGGCATTCTACAGGATTGTGCACCTGTTTCTATTGCTGCAAATTCTTTCAGGATACATTAGAAACATCAGGCTTAACAACTGCATTTCTTCCTTTCCTAAAAGGCTGAATCCAGAGATGTATGAACAGAACACAAAGACAGTCGCAGATCTTTCCTACTCCCCCCCCTCTCTCTAGCAGTTCTTTCAGACCTCAAGAAAGTTTTTTTCCTTCCTACCTTTCTTTACTAGTCACAATAATAGATCAGCCAGGACCTATGAGGAACTTGCAAAGACTAAGGGCCACATGGGTCAAGAGATGGCAGTGGGGATGGGATGAAATCGCCCTTTCTACCTGTTCCACCCGTGCAGTTCTGCTGATGGAAGAGGAAGAAGGATGCAATTTCACCATCTTCCCCCCTCCCAGTACGTCCTCCCAACCCATGTGTTTATTCTTCCACAGGGGATCCAAAACCCTGGGAATAAACTTCCCTAGGTTGGAAAGGACAGCTGGCAAGAGGGACATTTATTTTATTTATTTATATTTAAATCCCACCCTACCCCGAAGGCTCGCAGGCAGGCGGGCTCCGGAGGCACCACGCCCCCTTCCGGGCAGTCGACTGAGTGCTCCCCAGGAGCTGGCATGGGCACACGGCGGCTGACACAGAGCAGCATGCATGCTGTCACCGCGCTGCCGTCAATACGGCGAAAGGAGCAGCGGGCGGCTTTGGGCAGGGTGGGGGCTTTTGGCGGGGCAGTGGCAGGGGAATTGGCACCCTGTTAGTATCTCCGCCCTAGGCGAGATACTAGCAGGCCTAGTGATAGGGCCGGCCCTGCCCCCCAGTCCCCTCAACGCTGGGGAAAGTTGATTCCAAGAGTCGTGTGACTTGTGAGCAGCAACAGTTATGCAGGCTGCAGTGAGGGGGCAGCAGGGAGTGAAACTGCCCCTCCCGTCTCTTAACTCTGCTGACAGAAGGCAGACAAGGGGACAAGTTTGCCTTCTTTCCCCATCTCACTACAGCCCATGAATCTGGGTGGCTCTTACTTCACATGAGTCCAACAAGCCTGGGAATCAACTCTCCCTGGGTCACAAGGAACTGCTGGGGAGGAGGGCAAAGCTGGGAAGACCCATTATCCTTGCATGAACAGATCACTAGATCCGACCCAAACAGTTCAGTCATATCTCAGAAATCCTAAATAGTCATAACACTCAGGCCATCGCCTGCCTAAGCCTGCCCACGCAAAAATAAAATAAACCTATTTGCTTACTTCGTTAGCTGATCACCCTATAGATTTGTGTAACTTTACAAATAAAATTCAACAGAAGTTCCGTGCTAATGTATAATTAAGTAAGATTTCATGTAAGGCATTCCATGATGGGATACACTTCAGGTTTTAAAAAAAGAAAATCTGAAAGAAAACATGCAAAGTTGAAGCATGGTAGTACTTCCACTACTGCATGTATTGAGTTCAAAAAACTAAGAAGAGCAATAATTAAAGTTTATGTGAATCAACTGAAATACAGATTATTATGGCTTTAAATTGGTTATGCTGTTATAGCCGGGTATTATCAGCTTCTTGGTGTAACTATCACCACAGTTCTGTAACATGGAATAATTTCAGGTATTCACTGAAGCTTTCCAAACCATGTGAGTTACTCCTCTGGATTCTTAAAGACTTTAGATTAATAAACAGCCTGGATTCTTAGAATCAGAATGGCTACTAGATTGCCAAAACTCTATTCTTTATTGTTGCTGATTATCAGAAATTTTTAAAAGAAGTTATGTGAACATGGACTAGGAAGCTGTCAGTCTTGGTACCATGTAGTCTGAACTGAACAGGGCATAAGACCCCCAGACTCTTTTTTTGATTGCCACAAGTATGGCTCCCAAAGACACCACTATGTATGTTGCTTATCCCATTAGTTTCTTTATATATTTGCTTTTGTTTGTAGGAATGGTGAAATGGCTCCACCACCGAAAAAGTAATTCAAGTAGAGTTTATTCTCTTTTGGGACAGCGTCTAGACAGAGATCCTAAGCAGGCCTGTACAGACTCCTACTCAGGTTTAATGGGACTTACTTCCAGGAAACTGTTCTTACAACTGCATTGTAAATGTACTAACAATGAGTTCACCTCAACCAAGCCTCTCTACTGATGAAAAAGGGAAGAGAGGATCCATTTTCACCATGAAAAAGTCTATGCTGGGAATCAGGGAGTCTGCATGGACAAAAGACATGTGCATTGGGGGCTTTAAGAAGGAGGGGAGTGGCATCTAATTGCATATGTCCAATTATTCTAAAAGCAACACTTCTAAAGTATAGTCCTTGCCAACACCAGGTAGGGCTCTTCAGCTGTTTCCACATCCAGTACAATCACAACTACAGTAAAAACTACAAAGATATTTATCCTGTCATTGTTTCTCCACAGATGCATTCCTACTTTTTTCCATAATGGAATGTATTCTATATAAATAATTTGAACAGCACTGTATAGGAGCAGAGTTGCGGGTGTGGTTTATGGGGGAGCTGAGGGGGAGGACAACTAAGACTGAACAAAGCCAGTTTCAGAGGGTAGCCATGTATTTCCTGCATTGTGCAGGGGGTTGAATACATGACCCTGGAGGTCCCTTCCAACTCAATGATTCTATGTCTACAGTAGGAGAGCTAGATTCAAATTCAGTAGCACCCTAGAGACTGACAAGATTTTCAGGGTATAAGCTTTTGAGAGTAAAAGTTGGTATCTTACAAAGGGAGCTTTGACTCTGAAATGTTTATACACTGAAAATCCTGTTTGTCTCTGAAGGAAGTCACTGGCAGAACTTGCAGATCTCATTAAGGGCCTCTCCCCTCACAGTTTGAGCACTGTTTGGCTTAATTCTGACCCAAGATACTCTTAAAATTTGGTTCATTTTAAATTACAGGCTAATGCAGGGCAATTCAAAGGTAGAATAATATATTTTTTAAAAAGATGCCACAACAAATTTGCTAGGAATAACAAACTCACTCCGTTTTCTGAGAATTCTAGCTGGCAATTACATACCTTAACCTTTGATAAAGAAACAGCATTTTTGACATGTGAACAGATAGTAAAGGACAAAGCTTTTTCCCTCAAAGATCAGTAACAGGACAATGTTTCTTTCAGAAACCACATCCTTTGAAGCAAAATATTAAAAGGGTGTGGCAAAGGGTTTTGGAGTTCTTCAGGAAAATTTTCTTCCAGATTTGCCTGCCTTATCCTACTGAGCGACCAATTCCATCTGAACATTTTATTTCAGGAAGAAATACACTGGTCTTATTGTTTTTGAAGGGGAGACTGCAAGATTTGATGTTATTTGGAAAAATGTGAACCATAGAAGAAGAGAACAAATGCTTAATGCAAAGAATTTTACATTTTGTTTAACTGGTTCAACATAGGATGAATATAACACAGGTGTTTGCTATATCTGACCCTTGTACAGCAATGCAAAGCTTATTGTGATTTTAACTTAACATTTATTCTCAAGTACAGAACAATACAAATTAGGGAGAAAATTCAATTATTTTGAGCTAATATTCAAGGGACTTGTAGCCAGGCAAGGAAGCATTTCTGAAACTGGAGCACATCCTACCCACCCCATCCTGACCCCTTTTAGGTTAATATGCCACAAATGTACAGGATCATAAGGATGTTCTGGTGGGCTGGATACTTCTGTGGATGTTTTTGAAAACTGTGCACTAACTCTTAAATTGTTTACCAGCTTGAAAAGTGCTGAGAGACAAAAAGATATAAACCTTCAAAACAACTATCAAACATTCTCCTTAGACTCACCGGCACCCAAAAGTTGTTTGTAACAAAGTTGTGATTCCCACACAAAAGAATATGGTCCCAATCAATTGGCTGGTAGCCCACTGGTCAAATCCCACACACATGGCATCTGCTAGTAAGAAGGGCACTGCTATCGTACCACTGAAACAGGTCAGGTAGTGCTGCAAATATACAAAGAACAATCTTGTTTACAGTCAACATAATTTTCTCCAATTTGTTTGTGTTATTATAATCGTACACTGTTATTATAACTGTTCACTTCCAGAGCAGGGTTTTTTCCCCTTAACATTTTGGTACTCTCTGATCATGTTAAAACTACTTTCAGTTATAAATTTATCACCCATAAGCAGTTAATTATGTCCATAATTGCATTCAAACCCTTTATGAAGAAAAATGATAATTCTTTATAGTTATTGTAATTTAATGCAGACAGGTTACTGATAATGTACAAAGGCAATAATGGATTTTATTCCATTCCAATTCAAACAATTTCTAAAAAGAACTGTTCTTAAACTGTACACAAGTCATCCAGTGAGTCAAAGAGAATGCTGGAACTCAAAGCAAAATAAAAAAGGCAACAGCTAACCATCGTCCAATTAAAAAAACACACACACACGTGTGGGTATCCTGGATGCTGGGGAGGGGTCACAGTTCAGCTGCTGAATACTTGTTTTGCATCCCAGTCATCAGTCTTTGCTATTTCCAGTAAAAGGATCTTGGTCAGCAGGGAAAACCTGTGAATCGTAGGCTAGAATGACCAATGCCCTGACTCTGTATAAGGCAACTTTACATTCTCGTATTAATATACATTCACAAACAGCTTACAGCAGCTTCACTGGCACTGCATAAACATTTTGGAAAAGTGTTATAAACGCTGAAGGCACAATACTAAACACATAACTCTTAAGGTACTTCACCTTGAATTACTTTGACACTTAGGATCTCTTCTATCCACACAAGGTTCTTTTTTATCAAGGCAGTTCAAGATCTTTTAGATCCCAAGGCAGAAAATCCAAATAGCACCACACTTCCTCCAGTCCCCAGGGCAAGGGAGTAGCAGGAGGTTATCCTGCACCAGTCCTACTAAAACAAGTGTTTGCACAGTTTCATTTGTTTCAAAAGGTCTTATGAAGGAAGTTGTCCTGCATAAGTCCAATAATGGGTTAAATCCATCTCTCACTCTGCTAGCTTTAATGATGCCCAGAATCTTACTTTATCTCATGGTGGGGCCACCACTGCTTCTAAGACAAAACCTGTGGCTATGGCATGCCAGCTATTGGTAGAACAGAGTGTATGGCTTGTGTTTATGATTTGGGCACTAAGAGACCTAGCAATGGGCCGCCCTGGGGATTTTTTGGTAACCTGAATCCTTTCACAGACTGTGCAGAAACTTCTCATTTAAGCAGGAGGTACAAAAAGCTTTCCTGCTTTCCAAGGCTCCAGAAGCAGAACACAGGGAAAGTGCTCAGGCTTCAGTATACCTATACTTCACCGCTACAGTGAACCAACATGAAAGCAGAGCTGACATCTCATCTTTCCAACACATTTTGGTAATTAAAATCAGTGAACTAGAAATGAAGATAAGTGTTATCTGTAGTCCAATGTCTGTACTGCAATCTTTCATTTCTGTGCCAAGTGCCTGTTTTAGTCCTTTTTGCCTGCCGAGGAACATTTGAAAGAATTGAGACTTCTGTATGTTTTTAAATGTACCTGTAAGCCCAAGAATATGCAGAGGTACCAGGGAGGAACATCCTCAATTGTGTATATCATGTCCATTCTTTGTGCATCTGAGCTTCCACTGCTGTCCAACGTCTCTGCCAGAGAACTCTGTTGGGGAAAATAAATCAATAACCATTTAATATTGAAAAAGAATCTACTCAGATTCAGTGTGCTATGCAACTTGGTTTCCAGGGTGCCTTTGACAAGGTCTCTGTTTTCTCCAAGGCAGTGTCGATATACATATCTGACAAAGAAATGTTTTACCTTTCAAAATGATCAGCTGCACTGACCGTGCAATTCCCTCTCTCCCTCTTTCATATAACCACCACTTGCCTTTTCATATAAGCAGGCCTTTATTTCCATGCTTGTGATATAACCATGGAAGATTATGCCAAAAGGAAGATTATGATGACCTACTGGATTACACAAAGGAGGAGGAGATGGCAAGGATCACCAAGCCACGTAAGTCAATAAGGGACAAACAGCTAAAATTGCATAAGAGACCCAGATTTCACAATATAGAATAGTGCTTCTGCTTACTAATTTCTTTCTTTCAATATAGCTGAATGGGAATCAAGACAGACTTAAATTTGGGTTCCTTTAGAGACAGAAGAGTATGAAATCTGAACACACACTATGCAGGAGAGATCACCTCTTTGTGACAAAAAAATTTGCAGATCTGAGCATTGTTTTCTAAACAAAAAAAGGTAAGCTTCTACCTCTCATCAGCTCAACAGTAAAAATATTGACCATCAAGCATTAAGGGGACAAAAGGAAACACTGCTACATAGCTAGCCGAATTGTGCATTTTTCAAAATATTTCCACAGAGTTTACCAAGACTCTTATAGTACTCATTGTAAAGCAAGAACTGCCAGTTGTAGTTCAGCAACTTAGAAATGCACAGGAACAATGAGCAAATATATAAAAGATCAGTAACCACCATCTTGTGGAGTGGGTAGAGATGACTGAGATACAGAGAAAAAACCAGAGTTTTACAAAGGACAGATGTAGACAAAGACATACAAGTAAGGGCAATAATAATGTGTAAGAAAAAAAGAAAAATGGGTTAAAGATGGGCCCTCCTTAGATCTGTAGGGTACAGCATTGATCTAAACAAGTTAAGTCTTTGAAGAAAGCCACAATGCCTTGCCACAGAAGCAGTTTTAAACCTTTAGTAATGAACAACCAAATAAAAAATTATTTGAAAAGCAGGGGAGTCTAATACTTTTTATTGGCAACAACACTTGGAAACAAGGATATACTTGATTGTCCATCTCAAATTTTGCAGGAAGAAAGGTTTATAACAGATTAGGTGCTAACCTAATCCATACTTGGCTTCAAAAAATGCCCTTGACGAGAACCTCATGACTACTTGAGACTCAAAACTATGTATAGTGAATTTTCTAATTTTGTGTTTAGTGTTACAGAAAATAATGACAAGTCAAACATATTACTGATTTACTAGCAAAGCATACAATGGACTCTACAAGAATTCCAATAATTATGTAAAAGGCAACAGAGATTTCTTGGCTTTAAGAACATATTTATAAACTCTCCCTGTGGTTATGGCTATTTTGGTCAAGGCAAGAAAAGCTTTTGCGAGAGCGTGTTTGAAACTACCAGAAGTGCATAGGGAATTGCTTCATTCAAAGGACAAGGTATGTGGGATTTTGCCTCACTGCACTAATGTTACAGTGCTCAAAGGATAAGGAGGAATGCAGGCAATCTTGGGGGAGCAGGGGAAAGCAACAACACCTTTCTGTCTCTGCATTGCAAGAACCCCACCACTCACTGCACACAGCCTTTTGGGAGTATAATGCATCCCTTCTTTCTTGCCCTGGGATACAGACACTGAAATAAAGGTTGATGCTGGGAAAAAGGGAAGCTGGGGCTGGCTCTTTGGAGTCTGTCTGTCTGTCTGTCTGTCTGTCTTTCTCTCTCTCTCACTCACACACCCCTATCCTGCCATCTCCAAGGCTCTTCTTTTGCACAATGAAGTGAGCACAGGTGCTGTTTGAATATAGACTTTTGAGTAGAAGGCCACTGCTCTACTGGAGGCTGTTCCAACTTGCAAAGGATTAAACATGCTGAGCAGACTTTAGGGCTGAGTGAAGTCAGAAAGGCTAAGATTATGTGGACATGTTACAGCAATTTTTTATTTGAATTCATTTATTTTGGAAAAGGATCAGTGGTTAACTCCTGAGCATGCTGAGTGCACTTCAAGGTTACAGGGTCTATAGGTACAGGGAGAAGACCAAAGGCAAGCATCATAACAGCAGGGTTTGTCTGGATTTCTAGCCTGTTTCATATGGACACAAATAGAGCAAATGTGCCAGGTGCAGATTAAAATAATAAAAAGCTTTATCAAGAAGTACCCTCCACTCCATAACCCTTAGTTTGTAAAAGCCAGTCTAAATTTAAAAAATTTACAACACTTTCAGGAGGCGTTAGCAAGTCTCTGACATCCTGGAGCAGTACTCAAAAATCTCAAATACAGGAACTAAAATATCAACAAAGAGGGAGTAGGACTACACATGGCCCATAACTTGACTTAGGGTCCATGAGGGATGAAACCAAGTAACAAAAATTACAAGACAAAAGGGCAATGGTTGTTACATTGGGTTCTAGCACTATTAACAACCTCAATGTGGAGAAGCCCCGAACCCATGAACCTCTACCTTCCACAGTAACCAGGACACACAAACACAAAATTTAGGTGGGATGAATTCATGCTGCTCCTTAAAATCCACTCCAGTATCCATGAGGAAATTGAAAGTCATCAGGGAGTCTATAAGGAGCAGAGACATAAAGGAGCCTTCTTTAAGTAGACTCTGTGGGGTGTAACGGAGAGGGTTGAGATGTGAGTGACCCCGTTCCATAAGAATGGTACTGTAACCCACCATAATCCATTAGAAAAGGGACCAGAAATCATTTTTTTCACTATCAGAGGCACACAGCCAGCACTGAGACACCAGTCACACTATCAGGAGATGTGTGTTTAACTGTTCTATGCTATGAGTCAAGGACTGAAGAACAAGCAAAAATATTACTTTAGGCAGATTAGTCAGTCAAAATATATGCTTTGGAATCTGGAGCCCAGTAACCCAGTTGTATAACTTTATCCTATTAGTTACACATGATGCCATTACTTAATCCCTTTATGATTGTAAAAGGCAGCAATCTCAAAAGTAATCTAGGTGGTCCAATGCTGGCATAGTTTTCCTTCCAGCTCCCTGGCTGCCAAAATTAATCTCTGAAACAAAGGTGGCATTAGGAACAGAAGTGCTCAGGCATTTTGCCTTCCTGAATAAGCTTAGTGTTCACAACTAGACTATAAAAAAATTGTTTTCTGCAACTAGACAATTGCTGATATTGTAAGGCTGAATATCAGTTTGTTTACCTCAGCACATACAGTCATGTAAAATACAATATAATCCCCCAAATCTTCTAGTATTATTATTATGGTTGATAGCATGAAAAATATCTAGTTCAGACCTTCCATTTTCTGTTTTTACTCTAAGAATGACCTATATTCAAGCCAAACGATCCTGACTCACTTTGCATGTTGTAATGATCACCTCAATTGAGGAAGGACACAGCACTGAAATTGAATTAGCAGCAAGGTAATTTTTCAGATCATTTGGATTACACAGCCTGCAGTTTTTGCTGGAATCCTGAAAATTGCAGCTCCCTGTTTAAAGACTTTTCCTGCATGATTCTTCATTGCAGAGGGAGGTTTGAAAATATAATGGCAAAAGATATTAAGAAGTTCAGAAAAAAATGAGTTCAATGAAATAAAATTTGCTTCCTTGCATTTTACATCCCCTGTCCTTGCTGAAATATTTTCAACTCTGCAAAAAACAAACATGGAATGAACATGCAAGTTCAGCACATTCGTAGAAAACGACATCAGCAGCATAATTCAGTCTGCTAGCACAATTTAGAGAACCTGAGTATTTTGCTAGCTTTTACCATAACTAGAGACTTGGCCTTGGAGACTTAACAAAAGGCAGGGATGCTGTTGGGAATCACAGGGAAAACAAGCTAGAAAGTAGAAATGCCAAACCTCAGGAAAGAAAGAGCAAAGAAGAGCCGAGGGCCCAAATAGTGTTAAACACCACCATGGGCAAAGTAACTGAGGCACAACAGATGGCAAGTGTGAATACGAGGAGGAGAAAGACTTAGGGAGCAGGCATGAGGCACCTTCCAAGCATGAGCAGCAAGGGACATCCCATGAGACAGACAGCTGTTAAAAACATTAATAGCATCCACAAACAGCCACACACACACACACACTGCTTTAAAACTTGCTCTTCAACCCTTTTCTTAATTAAAAGTCTGCATAAAATCCTTTGGGATTGGAAATGGGGCACTGGTGCCACCATGCTTTCTTTTTAAAAAGATTTTTACTGTCTTTTATATCTTATTATGTTTTAATTTTCTTTTACTGTTAACTGCCTTGAATTATTGCTTGTAGACAGAGCAGAGGGAGATAAATGTGAACATTGTGTCAAGGTGGTATTACCAAGTTCTAAGGTTATCATTTTATAAATATTGTCTTCTGCTGTTGATACACTTCATTTAGCAAGGAAACATGATCCATGACAGAAAGTGTTTCATGGCAATTTCACACTATCATGTGATAACTGCAGTTCATCATGCAGCATACATGGTCAAGTGAATCAGCTTTACCATCTAAAACCCTTAAGCAATGCTGCTCCACATAAGTGGGAATCCCCTCTTCTTTTTGATCAAGGACCTAGTAGCCAAAGTTAAGTGACCCCTGCCCCATCCCAAAAAAACCTATACTACTCAACCTGAACCACTGAGACAGGGTAGGGTATGAAATCCAGAGATGCATCTTTGTAACTGTGAAAGCTCTGCTATTCAACTGTTTCTCCATCTCAGTTCTGTAAGTCAATAGAACTCACTCTGCTGCCCATGGAGAGCCACGTTCGCAATTACCATCAATAGAATGAGCTACAGGACAACTGTGTGCTTGGGGCACCATCCTGCCAAACATACACTTGCAATAATATACAAGTATATTAATATCAGATACATAACTATAATCTTTGAGATTACCAGAGTACCTCTGAGCATTCAGAATTATCTCTCCCCACCACTAAGTCTTAGCCTTCCCTTGTGTACCTGGAGTGAGGGGAAAGGGTTCCCTCTCGGCCTTCCTGCTCTCTCCTTAACACAAGTCACAGTAGCCCAGGTGAGAGACCGTGACTGCCAAGGCTCCTAGAGGAGGCAAGCTGGCTGCAGAGAAAATGAAGTGAAACCACTACCACCCCACTGTGGCCAGATTGCTCTTAGCCAAGGGAGCTGCCATGCTGATGGTTTTACTCCCTCTTCTCTGTGGCCAGGTTGCTGTCCTCCCGACAGCTGCTCAGGTGCTGGGATGAAAGTGCAGAAGCTGCACATAAAGGGGTATTGTTGGAGGGGATGGGCCCTTTGTTTCTATCCCTGGCACAAGGACCACAGCTCAGGAAGGTTTGCAGCTTACCCATTCTACAGTCTCTTCACCTTTTCCAGGTGAGAAACCACCTACCATCAACAAGCCCTGCTG